TTCACTCACATTTTATTTATTTAGGAATTTTAGAGTCAATATATATTAACCAATAAAGTATAAGTATAATTATTGTGTATCTACATTCAACATAGACACATGATAAGAGCACTTAGGTTCACCAATAAATCATTGCTAATCAGTATCAAGAGCTGTGTTTAAATAAACCTTACACTTCATTCAAGCAATCTGTTGGCTTTGGAAGTCGTGTTCCTGCCTTGAGCTGTTCAATAAGCGTCTGGGCATCTGTGTGAGGATAAGGAACAGCACCGAGAGTGAACACTTCGTAAAGGACTACTCCATATGACCAGCTAGTGGGTTAAATGCAGTAAGAAACCGAACAAGAAACATTTATATTAATTACAATGAATTTTTTATTGTACATTTTCTGAAGTGAAATGAATTGTAAGTCAACAGTGAACTAACTAAAATTAACATTAACCAATTAATCGATAAATCAAGGCATCAGTTGATTGATTCAAATTTTGATTCATTTATTGCCCTCCTTAATTCCTTCATCAATCAATCAATGAATAAATAAATTAAGAAATCAACTATCACTGCACCTTTGACACCTTATGTACCCACCTATTGTATGCGATCATGACCATTTTTGGGCTTAAAAATTGGATCTGGACAAGTAAGCGACCATTCCGGAAGTCAAGAAATGTATACTATTTTTAACAAAAACGATTTAATACGATGGTGATTACAAAGGCCTATTAAAAACATGACTATTTTTACCTGAGACCCAATATTACATTAACTTCGGTCATCACTTGGTGTGTATCTCGTAAGTTACCACCTCTAGCGACAACTTTCCCTTGACCTAAGGGTGATCGCTTACGGAGATTCAACGGTGAGAAGGTTTACTTACACGTCACTTTTGATTGTGCATATTCCCTCTAAAATGGTCTCTAAGCTAGACCACTTGTATGGCCGTTTCTTTCCCGGTGCCATGCGATCGTATCCCTTTTGGTAGATATCTGCAGCTAAGCCGAAGTCACATATCTTCACGGCCAGATTTTTACCTACGAGAACGTTTCTGGCTGCCAAATCACCGTGATAATATTTCAAAGAAGAGACGTAATGCTGTTGAACAATGTACAAGAGTTTGCATGTTTAAAAGGTGTACAGTAAGAACCATAATATTTTATTTATTTGTTTGTTCTTTATACTGGGTTTCCTCTTCAGTAAAATGTTACCGTTCTCCAAGACGGCCTA